AAGGGGGGGGGGTAAAACCTGGTTCATATCCCCTCATCAGTACCTGTATAAGTGTTCCCTCTGCCCCCTTGTCTTTGTGTGTGATTGTTTATTGTAGAGGAGAGAGAAGCTCGGTGGAGCTCTGTGTATTTTGTATCGCCGGGAATATTCCCAGTGTCCCTTGTATTTTCCAGTGCGCCTGTTTTGCGCACTGGAGTGTTTTTACGCATTACTGCGTAACTCTGTGGTTCAGAATAAATCCTGTTATTCTGTGATTTACCCTAAAAATCACCTCATCACAGGTGTCTTCTTTTTTGTAAGCCCTTAACCATGTGTGAGACCCTGATTTAGCCCACTGCAGTAAAAGGTTAATCCCTCTCTATGGGCTCTTTAAAGGGGCAATGTGCAGTTGCTGTATACATTTTAATGATATACAGAATACCTATTGATTCTTGAAGAATATAACTTATAATGCCTCATGATCAGCTTTAATATTGCAAATAGATTGTGGCTTCTATCAATGTAATTGTCTGCATTATTTCCAATCCCCCATATATATATGTTTTTGTTGTTGTAAATATATATTATTTTAAATATATATTGTTTACATATATTTTATTTATTTATTATTTTCCCCTAACCTTACCACTCCTCCCCTAATTGGAGTAAACTAACGGACAACAATACTTAGGCTACTCCAATGTTTTAGGGGGTATATCAGATTTAATATTGCAGATAGATTGTGGCTTGTAATTGTCTGCATCATTTCCAATCCCTCATATATATCTATACACATGTACATTGTTTACAAACATTGGAGTAGCCTAAGTATTGTTGTACATTAGTTTACTCCAATTAGGGGAGGGGTGGTAAGGTTAGGGGAAAATAATAAATAAAGAAAATATATTTAAAAATATATATATTTAAAATAATCAAACACTGTATAGCCTCAAAACATGGTTAAAGTGATAAAATTGATATCATGGATGGTCCGTCCTTTGAAAGTGGTTACATTTCTCCAGGCCCACCACTAGCTTTTTACCAAAACAGAGGGGCGGGCCTGCTTTGTTATTGTTTCAACTGTGGATTGGCTCTCCAAGACTGCTGCTGTAAAGCGGCCTGACTGCAGGAGGAAGTAGGAACAACCCAATCTGAATATGTCTATGGACCTTGTTAAAGATAGACTTCAGAGTGAGAGTGTAGGCCTACACATCATTATGAACATTAAGAACCAAAAATCACACCTCATTTAAGAAATATAGACTGCACACAGCTTGGCTGTTGCGTTACACACACACACACACAACCTGTGTAACAACACACAGTGAGAGTAGCATCCTTCTGCTGCATAGTAGAGGGGGAATAGTGAGCAGGGGATGAGGTTAGGAGGATAAGGGGATGAGGCTAGGAGGATGAGGGGATGAGGTTAGGAGGATAAGGGGATGAGGTTAGGAGGATGAGGGGATGAGGTTAGGAGGATAAGGGGATGAGGCTAGGAGGATGAGGGGATGAGGTTAGGAGGATGAGGGGATGAGGCTAGGAGGATGAGGGGATGAGGGGGTGAGGTTAGGAGGATGAGGGGATGAGGCTAGGAGGATGAGGTTAGGTTAGGGGGATGAGGGGATGAGGGGGTGAGGTTAGGAGGATGAGGGGATGAGGTTAGGAGGATGAGGGGATGTGTCTAGGAGGTTGAGGGGATGAGGCTAGGAGGATGAGGGGATGATTCTTGAAGGATGAGGGGATGGCTGGAGAGGTGGAGAGCTGGGTGTAAAAGTGAGGATGTGTGGCGTGTGAAGCGATAAGAGTCACGCTGCAATCTCTCCTGCCACCAGTGTAGCGACGCAGCCACTAAATCACTAACACTATCTGATCCTGCTGCAACTGCAGACACTAATTAATGGCCCATTCTGAGAGGAGGAGGAGGAGGAGGAGGAGGAGGAGGAGGAGGAGGAGGACCAGGGCTTGGAGAGAGACAGACTGGATGGATCCAGCCTCAGACACTGATGTCACCAGCTGTGTTGTGATGGGCCTGAGATGATATATTATATACCAGTGGAGCAACAGCGGTGATGTCATTGACAGAGATGCTATGGTACTAAGACAGAGGTTTCACATGCACTGTACCTGAACACTTGCACATAGGAGTCATATTGCTACTACCATGGATATATTGCATTCGCCTCACATAATATGATAGCCTGCAGGTCGTTTAGAAGGAACATCGATCTCAAATTGGAATCAGCCTGGTCGTTCTATTTGCTGTGCGAGATAGCTTGGTGTGTGGGCAGACTGCAGACAGAGGGAGCATACCAGGAGCCAGTCTGGCCAAACATCTCATTAACATTGGTGTCATAGTCCTCTGAAACACACACATTGGCATCACCAAGTTGATCACTGACCGAGACAGAGAAGAAGAAATTAATCAAGAAGAGAATGAGGAAATGAAGCTGCCAGAATGACCCTGTTTCTCCCTTCTTTCTGTGAGAGAGAACAGCTCAGTGGTGGCTAATTAGCAGAATAATTGAGTGAAGAGACTGTTTAAATTAGCGTTTAAGACACGGCGCTCCCTCTGCCACCACACATCATGTCTCTCTGTGGGGTGTAATTAAAGTAACCTTTGCGTGGTCTCTTGGTGGGAAAATATGCTTTTCTTAAAAAAATAAGAGAATGGAAGATTTCTCTCTCTGGTAAACGGCTATGGGGGAGGGGATGGTGAGTGAGCGCTGGGGGGTTGATGGAGAGCGAGATAGGTGGGGAGGATGGAGGGGGTGGGGGGGTGTAGAGAGAGACCTCTTCTTTTGATGAGTCATTCTGGGTCTGTCACTGAAGACCTAATTTACTTCTGCTTGTTGACAATAAAGAGCAACGATGACCTCTTTCTCTCTCTCGCTGTCTGGAAACACACGTACACAGACAAATTACCACTCACACAAAGCTTCACAGGCTCACCAATAGCCTGTCAAAAGGCAGTTTGACAGTGCAGCTGGTAATGACACTTTCTAAATGTATTTGAATAACACAGGGCATTGTTCTTATAGTAAACACGAGGAATGTGGCTGCAATAATCAAGGAGGTACAATGTGTACGTGCGTCGGTCCAACTACTCTGAACAACAAGGCATTTGAGTGGATTGTGGGTACAGACACACAGAGACACAAACAAGTTGAGCCGATCAGTTGATTTGATCTGCTTTTATCAAAGACAATGCCCAGAAACTTCAAATATGAACATTGCTTCATGGTGGACATAACTCTGTTATGACAATAGTCATAGACATCATCATCATCTTCATCAATAGTTTTTTCATTATTTGTTAATAATCATTGTTCGTAATCATTTAAAATTTCGTCACTTTTCATTTTGCATTTTTTCCTTTAGAATTCAATAACATTAAAAAAGTTTAAAAAAAGGACATTAACAACAGAAAATGAGTAAAACATAGTTAAGTGAGTCCGGACCGGAGTGTACAGTATTCTGCATGTAGTATTCTGCATGTACTGTACATTATTCTACATGTAATATTCTGCATGTACAGTATTCTTCATGTACAGTATTCTGCATGTACAGTATTCGGCATGTAGTATTCTGCATGTACAGTATTCTGCATGTACAGTATTCTGCATGTACAGTATTCGGCGTGTAGTATTCTGCATGTAGTATTCTGCATGTAGTATTCTGTATATGTATTATTCTGCATGTACAGTATTCTGCATGTACAGTATCTGCATGTACAGTATTCTGCATGTAGTATTCTGCATGCACTGTACATTATTCTACATGTAGTATTCTGCATGTACAGTATTCTGCATGTACAGTATTCTGCATGTACAGTATTCTGCATGTACAGTATTCGGCGTGTAGTATTCTGCATGTAGTATTCTGCATGTAGTATTCTGTATATGTATTATTCTGCATGTACAGTATTCTGCATGTACATTATTCTGCATGTACTGTATCTGCATGTACAGTATTCTGCATGTACTGTATCTGCATGTACAGTATTCTGCATGTACAGTATTCTGCATGTACAGTATCTGCATGTACAGTATTCTACATGGCAAGGCCTGCGTCCTTACGGCTCTGACGTCACTTTGACACTAACAGAGACAGTTGGAGAGAAGACGTACAGAAGCCATTTTCCTTTGTAGGCACCATATTTGGACTCACACACAACACACACACACACACACACACACACACGCTCTAAAGCTCACACACGAGCATGCTCTCACACACACACCAACAATAACAATAAAAAAATTAAAATCACTTTTTGGAAGGGAAAAATTCATAGCAAATGGAAAAGAAAAGATGCATAAGTTGAAATGGAGTGAGTGAAGAAAGGAGTAAGAGAAGGAGAGGAAGGAGAGGAAGGAAGGAAAGAGGGAGGAAAACATTTGGCTACAACAAGAAGGAGAGGTCGATGCAGTCAATGTCCACAAGAAGAGAAGAGAAGTGAGAAGAGAACAGAGAACAGCACAGGAGGAGAGGAGAAAGTCAAGAGTTTGTTTGTTGGTTCTCTTTATAGTTCTTCGTTTCAGTCATCATTCTGAGGTTTCTCAGTTATTTCAATTATTATTTAAATAAAGAGCTGCGGTTGGACAATTCCTTCATCATTACACCGGAGTGCTATCCTTCTTGTTTATTTCTTCTTGTCGTTTATTATTTCGTTCCTTCGTTCATTGTAGTCTTTTATTAACCATCCTGATGGAGGGAGTCACTGGAGGGTCCTAGTCCCTGAGGGTCAGGAGGGTGAGGAGTATGTGAGATACCCTGTAGATACTTCTCTGTCACACACACACGCACGTGCACACATGCAAGCAAGCATGAACACACTCATACTCACACACGCAAACCCTTCCACCGACCAACACCACCACTCGTTCAAAGTGCTTTCCCTCTCGTTCCCTCTATCGGGCTGAGGGTCTCTCTCCTCTCATAAGTGAGCAGTGTGTGTCTGTATCTCAGTCTGTATCTCAGTCTGTATCTCAGTCTGTATCTCAGTCTTTCTCAGTCTCTCTCTACTGATTCAGCATCTTGTCTGCCTCGGGGTACGTAGGATACTTGACGGTCTCAATCTTCTCCTTCACCTTGTAGGACGGGTAGAGGCCGGTACGGCCCGTCTTGCGGTTGATGCCCTTGGAGTTTCCGTCCCAGTGGTTCCCCGCCACCCCGATCAGGTCTCCGGGCTCTAGGGGGATGTCGTCGGAGTTGCGGGGCTGGTGGGCGTACACGGCTAGCTGGTTGTGGGCGTTCTGGCCCCCGAAGTAGTAGATGTCATCCAGGGAGTGGAAGTGAGACGAGGCGTCCGGGTGGAGGGTCTGCATGATCTCATAGGCCACACGACACACCTGGAGGAACACAACAATCATGATCATTTATAGTTCTGAATCCCAGGGAATTCTATCACCTATGTTCTTTCTATTCTGCATGAAAACCTGCAGGACCACATAGATTATAGTTAGTGTCCTTAATGTTCCCTGATCATGTGACCTGGCCAGGAAAAACTAAGGGACAGCAGTAGTGTACAGTGGAAAACGTCTACAGCATACAAAAGCCAGCCCAGTGGAAGACAGGAAAAACAGTGGATGAGAGTGGAAGAGAAGGTGAAGTTAAAGGTCACCTGTGAGGAGAAGGTGCAGACCAGGAAGTTGGTCTGGGACAGGAAGTGAATGTCCAGGATGACTCCTCTCAGTGAGTTCTCTGTGTAGCGGTTATGGAGCCCCGCAGACCACGAGATGGAGTTATCACTGATGAACTCATAGTCTGGGTACCTGAGACACACAGAGACAGAGGCAGTCAGAGACAGACTGCCTAAAGGATCATACAGATATCAACGTGAATAAGGCATTTATAGGTAGCAAGTGCCTACTGTGCTTGAAAATTAGCAAGCTTGTTGCAACCTGGATAGCTACTTGTAAACAATAGCTGGAACGACCGAGCGAACAGACGCGAACTGGCTGAGTCAATTCAGTGGCTAGCTTTGCACTTGGCTAGCTAACAGTAGCTGCTAGGGGTAAGTCATAACCTACACTTGTGTTTTGTTTTTTACATATTGATAGCCCGAGTCGCTCAAGGAATTCGGGACATGGGTGACTAGTTAACGTTAGTTTGGCTCTCTCTGTGTGTTCGTGCCATGAAAGGAGGGGTTCTTCTTTGTCTGAAAGCAATGGCTAGCTAGTTTGCTAACTATTCTAGCTAACTAACTGGCTGAATAAGTTGACGACGGACTCGCTCAAGCTGTCGGGACTAACCCACAACGTTAGACACGGACACGAACGATCTGCTTGTGCGTTGATACACTGGTGGTTGTTGTGGCTGAGTATTGGCGCTAAATCCTGCTGCTGGAGACCGGCATGATAGCTGGCTGTGGCGTATTATGACGAGGTGCCCGGACGTTTTTCACGGAATAATACTGCACCTAGTTAGCTAGCTGAATAAACTAGGTTAGTCTATTCCTAGAAAACATTGAACCGCTGTAGTTTACAACAATTATAGTTTCTGAGGTGGAAGTTGGGAGAGTTATATTTGGGAGTTGTGGTGAGGGAGGCCCCGCTCTCTCCTTTCCCAGATGTTTAGTTCATTTTATTCCGATCTCCTCTGCATTATTGTAGCCATCTGCTGCAGCCTGTCAACTATGCCTCTGCCTATCCCTGTTCTCTCCTCTCCGCACAGGCTACACAAACGCCTCACACCGCGTGGCTGCTGCCTCTCTAACCTGGTGGTCCCTGCACGCACGACCCACGTGGAGTTCCAGGTCTCAGGCAGCCTCTGGAACTGCCGTTCTGCTGCCAACAAGGCAGACTTCATCCCAGCCTATGCTACCCTCCAGTCCCTCGACTTCTTGGCGCTGACGGAAACATGGATTACCACTGAAAACACTGCTACTCCTGCTGCTCTCTCCTCGTCTGACCATGTGTTCTCGCATACCCCGAGAGCATCTGGTCAGCGGGGTGGTGGCACAGGAATCCTCATCTCTCCCAAGTGGACATTCTAAATTTTTCCCCTGACCCATCTGTCTATCTCCTCATTTGAATTCCATGCTGTCACAGTCACTAGCCCATTTAAGCTTAATATCCTTGTCATCTATCGCCCTCCAGGTTCCCTTGGAGAGTTCATCAATGAGCTTGACGCCTTGATAAGTTCCTTTCCTGAGGATGGCTCACCCCTCACAGTTCTGGGGGATTTCAACCTCCCTACGTCTACATTTGACTCATTTCTCTCTGCCTCCTTCTTTCCACTCCTCTCCTCTTTTGACCTCACCCTCTCACCGTCCCCCCCTACTCACAAGGCAGGCAATACGCTTGACCTCATCTTTACTAGATGCTGTTCTTCTACTAATCTCACTGCAACTCCCCTCCAAGTCTCCGACCACTACTTTGTATCCTTTTCTCTCTCCCTCTCCTCCAACACTACTCACTCTGCCCCTACACAGATGGTAATGCGCCGTCGCAACCTTCGCTCTCTCTCTCCCGCTACTCTCTCCTCTTCCATCCTATCATCTCTTCCCTCTGCTCAATACTTCTATCTCCAATCTCCTGATTCTGCCTTCTCAACCCTCCTCTCCTCCCTTTCTGCATCCTTTGACTCTCTATGTCCCCTATCCTCCCGGCCGGCTCGGTCCTCCCCTCCAGCTCCGTGGCTTGATGACTAATTGCGAGCTCACAGAACAGAGCTCCGGGCAGCTGAGCGGAAATGGAAGAAAACTAGACTCCCTGCAGACCTGGCATCTTTTCACTCCCTCCTCTCTACATTTTCTTCATCTGTTTCTGCTGCTAAGGCCACTTTCTACCACTCTAAATTCCAAGCATCCGCCTCTAACCCTAGGAGGCTCTTTGCCACATTCTCCTCCCTGCTGAATCCCCCCCCCCCCCCCCCCCCCCCCCCTCCTCCTCCCTCTCTGTGGATGACTTCGTCAACCATTTTGAAAAGAAGGTTGACGACATCCGATCCTCGTTTGTTAAGTCAAATGACACTGCTGGTCCTGCTCACACTGCCCTACCCTATGCTTTGACTTCTTTCTCCCCTCTCTCTCCAGATAAAATCTTGCGACTTGTGACGGCAGGCCGCCCAACAACCTGCCCGCTTGACCCTATCCCCTCCTCTCTTCTCCAGACCATCTCCGGTGACCTTCTCCCTTACCTCACCTCGCTGATCAACTCATCCTTGACCGCTGGCTATGTCCCTTCCATCTTCAAGAGAGCGAGAGTTGCACCCCTTCTCAAAAAACCAACACTCGATCCCTCCGATGTCAACAACTACAGACCAGTATCCCTTCTTTCTTTTCTCTCCAAAACTATTGAGCGTGCCGTCTTTAGCCAACTCTCTTGCTATCTCTCTCAGAATGACCTTCTTGATCCAAACCAGTCAGGTTTCAAGACTGGTCATTCAACTGAGACTGCTCTTCTCTGTGTCACAGAGGCTCTCCGCACTGCTAAAGCTAACTCTCTCTCCTCTGCTCTTGTCCTTCTAGACCTGTCTGCTGCCTTTGATACTGTGAACCATCAGATCCTCCTCTCCACCCTCTCCGAGCTGGGCATCTCCGGCGCGGCTCACTCTTGGATTGCGTCCTACCTGACCGGTCGCTCCTACCAAGTGGCGTGGCGAGAAGCTGTCTCCGCACCACGTGCTCTCACCACTGGTGTCCCCCAGGGCTCAGTTCTAGGCCCTCTCCTATTCTCGCTATACACCAAGTCACTTGGCTCTGTCATATCCTCACATGGCCTCTCCTATCATTGCTACGCTGACGACACACAACTAATCTTCTCCTTTCCCCCTTCTGATAACCAGGTGGCGAATCGCATCTCTGCATGTCTGGCAGACATATCAGTATGGATGACGGATCACCACCTCAAGCTGAACCTCGGCAAGACGGAGCTGCTCTTCCTCCCGGGGAAGGACTGCCCGTTCCATGATCTCGCCATCACGGTTGACAACTCCGTTGTGTCCTCCTCCCAGAGTGCGAAGAGCCTTGGCGTGACCCTGGACAACACCCTGTCGTTCTCCGCTAACATCAAGGCGGTGACCCGATCCTGTAGGTTCATGCTCTACAACATTCGGAGAGTACGACCCTGCCTTACACAGGAAGCGGCACAGGTCCTAATCCAGGCACTTGTCATCTCCCGTCTGGATTACTGCAACTCGCTGTTGGCTGGGCTCCCTGCCTGTGCCATTAAACCCCTACAACTCATCCAGAATGCCGCAGCCCGTCTGGTGTTCAACCTTCCCAAGGTCTCTCACGTCACCCCGCTCCTCCGCACACTCCACTGGCTTCCAGTTGAAGCTCGCATCTGCTACAAGACCATGGTGCTTGCCTACGGAGCTGTGAGGGGAACGGCACCTCCGTACCTTCAGGCTCTGATCAGTCCCTACACCCAAACGAGGGCACTGCGTTCATCCACCTCTGGCCTGCTGGCTCCCCTACCTCTGCGGAAGCATAGTTCCCCGCTCAGCCCAGTCAAAACTGTTCGCTGCTCTGGCACCCCAATGGTGGAACAAGCTCCCTCACGACGCCAGGACAGCGGAGTCACTCACCACCTTCCGGAGACATTTGAAACCCCACCTCTTTAAGGAATACCTGGGATAGGATAAAGTAATCCTTCTACCCCCCCCCCCCCCCCCCCCCCCCCCCCCCCCCAAAAAAAAAAAAAAAAAAAAAAACATTGTAAAGTGGTTATCCCACTGGCTATAAGGTGAATGCACCTATTTGTAAGTCGCTCTGGATAAGAGCGTCTGCTAAATGACGTAAATGTAAATGTAATTCATTCTTGTGTACTTTATCATATCTCTAAACTGGTATTGGCACACATCAAATACAGCTTTCCGTCATACACACAAACAGATCCATAATTCATGAACATGTTAGTCATTTAGCAGACACTCTTATCCAGAGTGACTTACAGTTAGTACATTATTATTAAGATAGCAAGTTGAGACAACTTCATAACTCAGTCACAGTAAGTACATTTATACCACAAGACATTCCTGCAGACACACACACCCACACTGCCAGTGGCACACACACACACACACACACACACACACACACACACATACACACACACACACACACACACACACACACACACACACAGGCATACGTACTTAGCCTTGGCCTCCTTTAGTAGTGAGGGGTCGTCGGTGGCCAGGTAGACTCTCTTCTTGTCCACCAGCATGCGTCTAGCCAGATGTTGGAAGTGGTCTTCTACATGAACCATGTATTCCTCTATAGGGTGGAAGGCTGCCTCTGTCCCCACCTTATCTGTCCGCCGCACATGGACCCTACAGGAGAGGACACAGAAAGGAGATGGGTCAGAGGAGTTGGGTTAGGAGAGTATGTGTGTGTGTGTGTGTGTCCAAGTGTGTGACTGATTGTGTGTGAATCAGAGAGCTCCTCTCCTAAAGTGATGGATGGTAGAGTGAGTGGGTTGTTTGGAGAGTGGCTGGAGCAAGCCTCCCTCCCTCCCTCTCTATCTCCCTCTTTTTCTTCAGCTCTCTCTCTCTGTCTGACTCTCTCCCTTTCTTTGCAGGCCTCTCGCTCACTCTCTCCCTTTCTTTACAGGTCTCTCTCCCCCCCCCCCCCCCCCTCAGTCCACACCAGTCTATCTACAGTCTACAGGCCTTACAGAGCACCACAGACTGGGTCCCAAAGCTCTTAGATGCCTCCCTCAGTTCAGAATATTGGGATGTAGCCATAGCCTTACACACAGTAGGGGTTGTACATGTATTTCCACCCCCTACAGTTTGGTACTTCCTGAGAAGGTCTGAGAGGAGATCCCACTGCTCACTACAAACCACTGAGACTGACAACTCAGCACTTCACAGCATTCTACCTGCACCCTCCCTGCCTCCCTCCCTCCCTGCCTGCCTCCCTCCCTCCCTCCCTCCCTCCCTCCCTCCCTCCCTCCCACAACATGAAGGGAAAAGAGCTGCTTTTACATTTCAATCGCATCTCTCAGTGGGGATAGAGAGAGATGGAGAGTATGTGGTGTGTGTGTGTGTGTGTGTGTGTGTGTGTGTGTGTGTGCATGTGTTTCCCTTGGGAGAGAGAGAAATAGATAGAGAAATAGATGGAGAGAAATAAATAGAGAGAGAAACAGATGGAGAGAAACAGATGGAGAGAAATAGATCCAGAGAGGGAGAAAAGAAAAAAGTGTGTACATACCGTGTACATACCGTGTACATACTGTGTACATACTGTGTACATACTTACTTGGTTTTTATATGGATAATGAAGGTATAACAGTGCATTGGGAAAGTATTCAGACCCCTTGACCTTTTCCACATTTGTGTTACATTACAGCCTTATTCTAAATTGGATTAAATTGTTTTTTTCCCCAGTCATCAATACAGTGGGGGGGAAAAAAGTATTTAGTCAGCCACCAATTGTGCAAGTTCTCCCACTTAAAAAGATGAGAGAGGCCTGTAATTTTCATCATAGGTACACGTCAACTATGACAGACAAATTGAGGAAAAAAAATCCAGAAAATCACATTGTAGGATTTTTAATGAATTTATTTGCAAATTATGGTAGAAAATAAGTATTTGGTCACCTACAAACAAGCAAGATTTCTGGCTCTCACAGACCTGTAACTTCTTCTTTAAGAGGCTCCTCTGTCCTCCACTCGTTACCTGTATTAATGGCACCTGTTTGAACTTGTTATCAGTATAAAAGACACCTGTCCACAACCTCAAACAGTCACACTCCAAACTCCACTATGGCCAAGACCAAAGAGCTGTCAAAGGACACCAGAAACAAAATTGTAGACCTGCACCAGGCTGGGAAGACTGAATCTGCAATAGGTAAGCAGCTTGGTTTGAAGAAATCAACTGTGGGAGCAATTATTAGGAAATGGAAGACATACAAGACCACTGATAATCTCCCTCGATCTGGGGCTCCACGCAAGATCTCACCCCGAGAGGTCAAAATGATCACAAGAACGGTGAGCAAAAATCCCAGAACCACACGGGGGGACCTAGTGAATGACCTGCAGAGAGCTGGGACCAAAGTAACAAAGCCTACCATCAGTAACACACTACGCCGCCAGGGACTCAAATCCTGCAATGCAAGACGTGTCCCCCTGCTTAAGCCAGTACATGTCCAGGCCTGTCTGAAGTTTGCTAGAGTGCATTTGGATGATCCAGAAGAGGATTGGGAGAATGTCATATGGTCAGATGAAACCAAAATAGAACTTTTTGGTAAAAACTCAACTCGTCGTGTTTGGAGGACAAAGAATGCTGAGTTGCATCCAAAGAACACCATACCTACTGTGAAGCATGGGGGTGGAAACATCATGCTTTGGGGCTGTTTTTCTGCAAAGGGACCAGGACGACTGATCCGTGTAAAGGAAAGAATGAATTGGGCCATGTGTCGTGAGATTTTGAGTGAAAACCTCCTTCCATCAGCAAGGGCATTGAAGATGAAACGTGGCTGGGTCTTTCAGCATGACAATGATCCCAAACACACCGCCCGGGCAACGAAGGAGTGGCTTCGTAAGAAGCATTTCAAGGTCCTGGAGTGACCTAGCCAGTCTCCAGATCTCAACCCCATAGAAAATCTTTGGAGGGAGTTGAAAGTCTGTTCCCTCCCCTTCCCTGGACGACGCTGGGCCAATTGTGCGCCGCCCCATGGGTCTCCCGGTCGTGGCTGGCTACGACAGAGCCTGGATTTGAACCAGGATCTCTAGTGGCACAGCTAGCACTGCGATGCAGTGCCTTAGACCACTGCGCCACTCTTGTTCTTAATTCATGGCATGGTTTCCTTTTATCAAAATGTTGCATGCAGACAAATTAGTTCATGCAGGGAAGGGGAATAGTAATAGTAGCCTAATAATAATAATAATAATAATAATAATAATAATAATAAAGCCTAATATTCTGGAGTCATAAAAACTATTAAATAATTGATGTTACAGTTGAAGTCGGAAGTTTACATACGCATAGGTTGGAGTCATTAAAACTCGTTTTCCAACCAATCCACACATTTCTTGTTAACAAACTATAGTTTTGGCAAGTCGGTTAGGACATCTACTTTGTGCATGACACAAGTAATTTTTCCAACAATTGTTTACAGACAGATTATTTCACTTATAATTCACTGTATCACAATTCCAGTGGGTCAGAAGTTTACATACACTAAGTAGACTGTGCCTTTAAACAGCTTGGAAAATTCCAGAAAATGATGTCATGGCTTTAGAAGCTTCTGATAGGCTAATTTACATCATTTGAGTCAATTGGAGGTGTACCTGTGGATGTATTTCAAGGCCTACCTTCAAACTCAGTGCCTCTTTGCTTGACATCATGGGAAAATCAAAAGAAATCAGCCAAGACCTCAGAAAAATAATTGCAGACCTCCACAAGTCTGGTTCCTCCTTGGGAGCAATTTCCAAATGCCTGAAGGTATCACTTTCGTCTGTACAAACAATAGTACGCAAGTATAAACACCATGGGACCACGCAGCCGTCATACTGCTCAGGTAGGAGACGCGTTCTGTCTCCTAGAGTTAAACGTACTTTGGTGCAAAAAGTGCAAATCAATTCCAGAACAACAGCAAAGGACCTTGTGAAGATGCTGGAGGTCCAAAAGTATCTATATCCACAGTAAACCAAGTCCTATATCGACATAACCTGAAAGGCCGCTCAGCAAGGAAGAAGCCACTGCTCCAAAAACCGCCATAAAAAAGCCAGACTACATTTTGCAACTGCACATTGGGACCAAGATCGTACTTTTTGGAGAAATGTTCTCTGGTCTGATTAAACAAAAATAGAACTGTTTGGCCATAATGACCATCGTTATGTTTGGAGGAAAAAGGGGACCGTTTGCAAGCCGAAGAACACCATCCCAACCGTGAAGCACTGGGGTGGCAGCATCATGCTGCGGGGGTACTTTGCTGCAGGAGGGACTGGTGCACTTCACCAAATAGATGGCATCATGGGGAAGGAACATTATGTGGATATATTGAAGCAACATCTCAAGACATCAGTCAGGAAGTTAAAGCTTGGTCGCAAATGGGTCTTCCAAATGGACAATGATCCCAAGCATACTTCCAAAGTTGTGGCAAAATGGCTTAAGGACAACAAAGTCAAGGTATTGGAGTGGTCACCACAAAGCCCTGACCTCAATCCTATAGAACATTTGTGGGCAGAACTGAAATAGTGTGTGCGAGCAAGGAGGCCTACAAACCTGACTCAGTTACACCAGCTCTGTCAGGAGGAATGGGCCAAAATGTTGGGAAGCTTGTGGAAGGCTACCCGAAACGTTTGACCCAAGTTAAACAATTTAAAGGCAATGCTACCAAATACTAATTGAGGGAATGTAAACTTCTGACCCACTGGGAATGTGATGAAAGAAATAAAAGCTGAAATAAATAATTCTCTCTACTATTATTCTGACATTTCACATTCTTAAAAGAAAGTGGCGATCCTAACTGACCTAAGACAATTTTTACTAGGATTAAATGTCAGGAATTGTGAAAACTGAGTTTTAATGTATTTGGCTAAGGTGTATGTAAACTTCCGACTTCAACTGTATATGGCGGGTAATGGATCTGCTCTCAGAACAATTTTATGCGCATAGATTGGGTTGTGGAGAAAAACCGGTCCTGATGTCGGGTATCGGGTGGGGCTGGAATTGATGTGGCCGGCGTGGGGCTCGTGTGGCTCACAAAACACTGACCCGTTCATGACTCTGGGCTCTCGAGTGGTGCAACGGTCTAAGGCACTGCATCTAAGTGCTTGAGGCGTCACTACAGACCCCCTGGTTCGATTCCAGGCTGTATCACAACCGGCCGTGATTGGGAGTCCCATAGGGCGGCGCACAATTGGCCCAGCGTCGTCCGGGTTTGGCCGGTGTAAGCGTCATTGTAAATAAGAATTTGTTCTTAACTGACTTGCCTAGTTAAATAAAGGTTAAATAAATAAAATATATAAATAAAACATAAAAACTCTAGTGTGTATTGCGTCCACCTACCCTATGATGGGGTGGCTGAAGCCCAGTTTGGCGGTGGTATCTTGGATCTCTTTCTCCAGCCAGGCCTGGGGCCGGATCAGGTACTTGACCAACTGAGACACCCACCACACGGATGGGTCTCCATGGAGCCGGTGGAGGCGCTGGGCCAGGTCCTCTGGGATGGCCAGGGGAAGATAGGGGGGGCGGGGGTGGAGACTGTCAACGATGGGTAACTCTACCACCTGGATGTCTCTGTCGTTAGCCTCACCTGGGGGGAGAGAGGTAGAGAGGGAGAGTGGGGTTAATAAAGAGTGTAAGGGAAGGCAGAGAGAGAGAGAGAGAGAGAGAGAGAGAGAGAGAGAGAGAGAGAGAGAGAGAGAGAGAGAGAGAGAGAGAGAGAGAGAGAGACTATGTACAGACTCAGTGAGCATAGCCTTGCTATTGAGAAAGGCCGCCGTAGGCAGACCTGGCTCTCAAGAGAAGACAGGCTATGTGCACACTGCCCACAAAATGAGGTGGAAACTGAGCTGCACTTCCTAACCTCCTGCCAAATGTATGACCATATTAGAGACACATATTTCCCTCAGATTACAGCGATCCACAAAGAATTCGAAAACAAACCCAATTTTGATAAACTCCCTTATCTACTGGGTGAAAAACCACAGTGTGCCATCACAGCTGCAAGATTTGTGACCTGTTGCCACAAGAAAAGGGCAACCAGTGAAGAACAAACACCATTGTAAATACAACCCATATTTATGTTTATTTATTTTCCCATTTGTACTTTAACTATTTGCACATTGTTAAAACACTGTATATATACATAATATGACATTTGAAATGTCTTTACTCTTTTGAAACTTCTGAGTGTAATGTTTACTGTTAATATTTATTGTTTATTTCACTTTTGTTTACTATCTACTTCACTTGCTTTGGCAATGTTAACACACGTTTCCCATGCCAATAAAGCCCTTAAATTGAAATTGAAATTGAAATTGAAATTGAGAGAGAGAGAGAGAGAAATACAAATTCCATCTAGACACCGTTGCCCTAGAGCACACAAAAAACTATACATACCTCGGCCTAAACATCAGCGCCACAGGTAACTTCCACAAAGCTGTGAACGATCTGAGAGACAAGGCAAGAAGGGCCTTCTATGCCATCAAAAGGAACATAAAATTTGACATACCAATTAGGATCTGGCAAAAAATACTTGAATCAGTTATAGAACCCATTGCCCTTTATAGTTGTGAGGTCTGGGGTCCGCTCACCAACCAAGAATTCACAAAATGGGACAAACACCAAATTGAGACTCTGCATGCAGAATTCTGCAAAAACATCCTCCATGTACAACGTAAAACACCAAATAATGCATGCAGAGCAGAATTAGGCCAATTCCCGCTAATTATCAAAATCCAGAAAAGAGCCGTTAAATTCTATAACCACTTAAAAGGAAGCGATTCCCAAACCTTCCATAACAAAGCCATCACCAACAGAGAGATGAACTTGGAGACGAGTCCCCTAAGTAAGCTGGTCCTGGGGCTCTGTTCACAAACACAAACAGACCCCACAGAGCCCCAGGACAACAACAACAACAACACAATTAGACCCAACCAAATCATGAGAAAACAAAAAGAGAATTACTTGACACATTGGAAAGGACAAACAAAAAAACAGAGCAAACTAGGATGCTATTTGGCCCTAAACAGAGAGTACACAGTGGCAGAATACCTGACCACTGTGACTGACCCAAGCTTAAGGAAAGCTTTGACTATGTATAGACTCAGTGAGAATAGCCTTACTATTGAGAAAGGCCGCCGTAGGCAGACCTGGCTCTCAAGAGAAGACAGGCTATGTGCACACTGCCCACAAAATGAGGTGGAAACTGAGCTGCACTTCCTAACCTCCTGCCAAATGTATGATCATATTAGAGATACACATTTCCCTCAGATTACAGCGATCCACATAGAATTCGAAAACAAACCCAATTTTGATAAACTCCCTTATCTACTGGGTGAAAAACCACAGTGTGCCATCACAGCTGCAAGATTTGTGACCTGTTGCCACAAGAAAAGGGCAACCAGTGAAGAACAAACACCATTGTAAATACAACCCATATTTATGTTTATTTATTTTCCCATTTGTACTTTAACTATTTGCACATTGTTACAACACTGTATATATAGATAATATGACATTTGAAATGTCTTTATTCTTTTGAAACTTCTGAGTGTAATGTTTACTGTTAATATTTATTGTTTATTTCACTTTTGTTTACTATCTACTTCACTTGCTTTGGCAATGTTAACATACGTTTCCCATGCCAATAAAGCCCTTAAATTGAAAATTGAGAGAGAGAGAGAGAGTGAGAGAGAGAGAGAGAGAGAGAGAGAGAGAGAGAGAGAGAGAGAGAGGTGGGGAAGACAGACAGAGAGGGGGGGGGGGGAGACAGACAGACAGAGAGAGAGGGGGGGACAGAGAAAGAGAGAGAGAGTGAAATTGAAATTGAATTGAGAGAGGGTGGGGGAGAGAGATAGAGAGAGAGAGGACAAACACCAAATTGAGACTCTGCATGCAGAATTCTGCAAAAATATACTCTGTGTACAACATAAAACACCAAATAATGCATGCAGAGCAGAATTAGGCCGATACCAGCTAATTATCAAAATCCAGAAAAGAGCCGTTAAATTCTACAACCACCTAAAAGGAAGCGATTCCCAAACCTTCCATAACAAAACCATCACCTACAGAGAAATTAACCTGGAGAAGAGTCCCCTAAGCAAACTGGTCCTGGGGCTCTTTTCACAAACACAAACAGACCCCACAGAGCCCCAGGACAGCAACAGACAGCAACACAATTAGACCCAACCAAATCATGAGAAAACAAAAAGATAATGTTTGTCCCATTTTGTGAATTCTTGGTTGGTGAGCGGACCCCAGACCTCACAACCATAAAGGGCAATGGGTTCTATAACTGATTCAAGTATTTTTAGCCAGATCCTAATTGGTATGTCAAATTTTATGTTTCTCTTGCCTTGTCTCTCAGATCGTTCACAGCTTTGTGGAAGTTACCAGTGGCGCTGATGTTTAGGCCGAGGTATGTATAGTTTTTTGTGTGCTCAACGGTGTCTAGATGGAATTTGTATTTGTGGTCCTGGCAACTGGACCTTTTTTGGAACACCATTATTTTTGTCTTACTGATTTTTACTGTCAGGGCCCAGGTCTGACAGAATCTGTGCTGAAGATGTAGGTGCTACTGTAGGCTCTCATTGGTTGGGGACAGAAGCACCAGCAAACAGTAAACATTTGACTTCAGATTCTAGTAGGGTGAGGCCGGGTGCTATATCCTTAAGAGCCCTTCTATATCCTTAAGAGCCCTTCTATATCCTTAAGAGCCCGTCTATATCCTTAACAGCCCTTCTATATCCTTAAGAGCCCTTAAGAGCCCTTCTATATCCTTAAGAGCCCTTAAGAGCCATTCTATATTCTTAAGAGGCCTTCTATATCCTTAAGAGCCCTTCTATATCCTTAAGAGCCCGACTATATCCTTAAGAGCCCTTCTATATCCTTAAGAGCCCTTAAGAGCCCCTCTATATCCTTAAGAGCCCTTCTATATCCTTAAGAGCCCTTCTATATCCTTAAGAGCCATTAAGAGCCATTCTTAAGAGCCCTTCTATATCCTTAAGAGCCCTGCTATATCCTTAAGAGCCTGTCTATATCCTTAAGAGTGAATGGCTAGTTAAAGACTGATTGTACTCCTTGACTCCTTCTCTGAGTAGGAGTGCTGATGACTCATTCTGATAGAGAGTAATAATTAGTTTCACACGCCTCAAGAACAGTTTTAATTCACATTTATCAAGTCAGTGAAATATGAATGAATTACTTTTACAATGGGACATTCCCATGGAGGGAGGAAAGAGAGAGAGGGAGAGGGATAGAGAGAGAGAAGAGAGGGATGGAGAGAAGATAAGAGAATGTCTGCTTTCTTTTTCATAAAAAGAGCAAATGAAAAGAAGAAACATTGCTTTGAATGAACTGGAATCTTTGACCAAACAAAAAGCAGTAAAGACAGTCAAAGTTCTAATCAGCATTTTGCAATTTAAAACTAAATAAAAATAATTCATTAATCAACAAAATAACAGCTACCGAGAAAGAAAGACACAAACGAAGAGGCCATGTGAATATCAGTGTGGAGAATTTAAATCATGCCCTGGATTAAATATTAAAATACGATATATTTTTCATTACTTTCTCCTCATTTAAAGAACTATTTAGGAAATTCCCCAGCCTGGCTGATATATCGCTGCTGTCAGATTTGAACATTGGGACTAGAGTCTCTCTCTCTCTCTCTCTCTCTCTCTCTCTCTCTGATGTTAGAAGAGCGCAGGGGCAGACTCAAAGCAGTACAATACTTATAATCATTCTCCCTGTACCATAAACGATGAACCAGATGTATAATGTAATTCTGTTACTTGGTACCTGTGCTCTGTGTGAAGTATGTTACTATGGAGACCACCACAGCTGAGGACAGAGGGCAGTCTGCGTTGGGGCTGTTGCCATGGACACAACCCCCTCATCAGAGGTCAGAGGTCACGCCACGGTCAACTCACCTGACCAGTGTCCGGTGGTGACCCCGGTGCGGTCGGTGCACGTCTGACTGACCGGGAGGAAGACGGTCTCCCAGCCGCCCGTGGCGTAGCGCCAGTTCTGGGACTCCAGGATGAGGGTGCGCTGGGTGCCGTAGGCGATCATGAAGCAGTAGACCACATGGTGCAGCTGGCAGCCGTAGCCACAGCCCTTGTTGATGTTACACACTAGCTTCTTTGCCTTGGAGCAGTCCTGGGGGTTCTGGAGGGGAGAGACGAGGTACAGTTGTTAAAACACAGGGAGACTTGAGGTGCTTTGTTAGGTAATGTTACGGTGAAGACCAGAGAGTCGAGACACTGTCACACATTTGAAAGCCAAACGTGTATTTCAAGGTGCTGGTTCTTCTCTTTACCTTATCAAAACACATCCATTCTGTTATAGAGACCATATAGAGACAGACGGACAGACAGAAAGACAGACACATTGTCCCACGAATAAGGATTTGAGCCCATAGCCTACTACTTAATACTTCAAACCAGTGTGTCTGTTTTCTCTGTTCTGTTACCCTAGTCCATCAGTCCTGCAGGAGGGGAGGGAGTCAGGGAGGGTCTGAAGACAGCATCCATTAACGTGATGTTGTTAACGCATCTCCTGATCCTACTAATCATGTTGAAACATGTTAACAAAGATCTAGGATTGCAGCTCTGAAACTGTAGGGGCTGGGGTGTGTGTGTCTGTCACCATTATATACATATACAGTGGCTTGCGAAAGTATTCACCCCCCTTGGCATTTTTCCTATTTTGTTGCCTTACAACCTGGAATTAAAATTGATTTTTTGGGGGTTTGTATCATTTGATTTACACAACATGCCTATCACTTTGAAGATGCAAAATATGTTTTATTGTGAAACAAACAAGAAATAAGACAAAAACAGAAAACTTGAGCGTGCATAACTATTCACCCCCCCCCCCCAAAGTCAATACTTTGTAGAGACACCTTTTGCAGCAATTACAGCTGCAAGTCTCTTGGGGTATGTCTCAATAAGCTTGGCACATCTAGCCAATGGGATTTTTGTCCATTCTTCAAGGCAAAACTGCTCCAGCTCCTTCAAGTTGGATGGGTTCTGCTGGTGTGCAGCAATCTTTGTCATACCACAGATTCTCAATTGTATTGAGGTCTGGTCTTTGACTAGGCCATTCCAAGACATTTAAATGTGTCCCCTTAAACCACTTGAGTGTTGCTTTAGCAGTACCCTTAGGGTCATTGTCCTGCTGGAAGGTGAACCTCTGTCCCAGTCTAAAAACATTTTTTTTCTTTAAGCAATGGCTTTTTTCTGGCCACTCTTCAGTAAAGCCCAGCTCTGTGGAGTGTATGGCTCAAAGTGGTCCTATGGACAGATACTCCAATCTCCGCTGTGGAGCTTTGCAGCTCCTTCAGGGTTCTCTTTGGTCTCTTTGTTGCCTCTCTGATTAATGCCCTCCTTGCCTGGTCTGTGAGTTTTGGTGGGCAGCCCTCTCTTGGCAAGTTTGTTGTGGTGCCATATTCTTTCCATTTTTATAATGGATTTAATGTTGCTCCGTAGGATATTCCACGTTTCTGATATTTTTTTATAACCTAACCCTGATCTGTACTTCTCCACAACTTTGTCCCTGACCTGTTTGGAGAGCTCCTTGGTCTTCATGGTGCCGCTTGCTTGGTGGTGCCCCTTGCTTAGTGGTGTTGCAGACACTGGGGCCTTTAGCAACAGGTGTATATATACTGAGATCATGTGACAGATTATGTGACACTTAGATTGCACACAGGTGGACTTTATTTAACTAATTATTTAGGGGCTTCATAGCAAAGGGGTTGAATACATATGCACACACCACTTTTCCGTTATTTATTTTTTCGAATTTCCATTACATGAAATCCGAATAAAAATCCATTTAAATTACAGGTTGTAATGCAACAAAATAGGAAAAACGCCAAGGGGGATGAATAATTTTGCAAGGCACTTCAGAAAGTAGTCATACCCCAAGACTTATTCCACATTTTGTTGTGTTACAATCTGATTTCAAAATGGATTAAATATATATATATATTTTCACCCAACTACACACAATACCCCATAATGACAATGTGAAAACATGTTTTTAGAAATGTTTGCGAATTTATTGAAAATGAAATACAGAAATATCTCATTTACATACAGTACCAGTCAAAAGTTTGGACACACCTACTCATTCAAGGGTTTTTCTTTATTTTTACTATTTTCTACATTGTAGAATAATAGTGAAGACATCAAAACTATGAAATAACACATATGGAATAATGTAGTAACCAAAAAAGTGTTAAACAAATCAAAATATATTTTATATTTGAGATTCTTCAAAGTAGCCACCCTTTGCCTTGATGACAGCTTTGCACATTCTTGGCATTCTCTCAACCAGCTTCATGAGGTATTTAAATTTTTCTTTTTCTTTTTTTACATTTGAGTCATTTAGCAGACGCTCTTATCCAGAGCGACTTACAGTTAGTGAGTGCATACATTTTATTTTATTTTCATACTGGCCCCCCGTGGGAATCGAACCCACAACCCTGGCGTTGCAAGCGCCATGCTCTACCAACTGAGCTACACATAATTAATTTCAATTAACAGGAGAGCCTTGTTAAAAGTTAATTTGTGGAATTTCTTTCCTTCTCAATGCATTTGAGCCAATCAGTTGTGTTGTGACAAGGTTGGAGTGGAATAGATAAAGTAATCCTTCTACCCCCCCCCCCCCCCCCCCCCACAAAAATTGTAAAGTGGTTATCCCACTGGCTATAGGGTGAATGCACCAATTTGTGAGTCGCTCTGGATAAGAGCGTCTGCTAAATGACGTAAATGTGCCCTTGAGCAAGGCACTTAACCCTAATTGCTCCTGTAAGTCGCTCTGGATAAGAGCGTCTGCTAAATGACTAAAATGTAAAATGTAATGTAAATGAATAGAGAAGATAGCCCTACTTGGTAAAAGACCAAGTCCATATTATAGCAAGAACAGCTCAAATAAGCAAAGAGAAACGACAGGCCATCATTACTTTAAAGACATGAAGGTCAGTCAATCCGGAAAATGTCAAAGTACTTTGAAAGTTTCTTCAAGTGCAGTCGCAAAAACCATCAAGCGCTATGATGAAACTGGCCCTCATGAGGACCGCCACAGGAAAAGAAGACCCAGAGTTACCTCTGCTGCAGAGGATACGTTCATTAGAGTTACCAGCCTCAGAAATCGGTAATTAACTGCACCTCAGATTGCACCTCACAGAGTTCAAGTAACAGACACATCTCAACATCAACTGTTCAGAGGAGACTGCGTGAATCAGGCCTTCATGGTCGAATTGCTGCAAATAAACCACTACTAAAGGACACCAATAATAATAAGAGACTTGCTTGGGCCAAGAAACACGAGCAATGGACATGACACCGGTGGAAATCTGTCCTTTGGCCTGATGAGCCCAAATTTGAGATTTTCGGTTCCAACTGCTGTCTCTTTGTGAGACACAGTGTAGGTGAACGGATGATCTCCGCATGTGTGGTTCCCACTGTGAAGCATGGAGGAGGAGGTGTGATGGTGTGGGCGTGCTTGGCTGGTGACACTTTTGGTGATTTACTTAGAATTCAAGGCAAACTTAACCAGCATGGCTACCACAGCATTCTGCAGCGATACGCCATCCCATCTGGTTTGCGCTTAGTGGGACTATCATTTGTTTTTCAACAGGACAATGACCCAAAACACACCTCCAGGCTGTGTAAGGGCTTTTTGACCAAGATGGAGAGTGATGGAGTGCTGTATCAGATGACCTGGCCTCCACAATCACCCGACCTCAACCCAATTGAGATGGTTTGGGATGAGTTGGATCGCAGAGTGACGGGTGATGAAGCTGGTTGAGAGAATGCCAAGAGTGTGCAAAGCTGTCATCAAGGCAAAGGGTGGCTACTTTGAAGAATCTCAAATACATAATATATTTTGATTTTTTGGTTACTATATGATTCTATATGTGTTATTTAATAGTTTTGATATCTTCACTATTATTCTACAATGTAGAAAATAGTAAAAATAAAGAAAAACCCTTGAATGAGTAGGTGTGTCCAAACTTTTGAATGGTACTGTAAGTATTCACACCCTTTTGCTATGACAGTCCAAATTGAGCTCAGGTGCATCCAATTTCCTTTGATCACCCTTGAGATGTCACTACAACATGATTGGAGTCCACCTGTGGCAAATTCAATTGTTTGGACATGATTTAGAAAGAAACACAACTGTCTATATAAGGTCCAACAGTTGACAGGGCATGTCAGAGCAAACTATACCATGAAGTCCAAGGAACTGTCTGTAGATCTCTGAGATATAATTGTGATGAGGCATTTCTCTGGGGAAGGGTATAAAACAATTTCTAGTGTTGAAAGTTTCCAAAAGCAAAAATGCCATTATTGGGAATTTGAAAAAAATATGGAACTATCCATACCCTGCCTAGAGCTGGCTGTCCGACCACACTGAGCAACTGGGCAAGAAGGACCTTGGTCAGGGAGGTGACCAAGAACTCAATGACCACTCTGACAGAACTACAGACTTCCTTGGCTGTCTCTACAGTACTTCACCAATCTGGGCTTTATGGGAGAGTGGCCAGATGGAACCCACTCCAGAGAAAAAGGCACATGGCAGCACGCCTGGAGTTGCAAAAAGGCACATGAAAGACCCTGAGAGCATAAGGCAAAAGATGATGTGGTCTGATGAGACAAAAAGGTCACTCTTTGGCCTGAATGCAAAGCGCTATGTCTGGAGAAAACCAGGCACAGCTCATCACCCGTCTAACACCATCCCTACCGTGAAGCATGGTGGTGTCAGCATCATGCTATGGGGATGCTTTTCAGCAGCAGGGACTGGGAGACTGGTAAGGATAGAGGGGACAATGAATGGAGCCAAATACATGGAAATCCTTGATGAGAACCTGCTTCAGAATGCAAACGACCTTAGAGTGGGGCGAGGATTTACATTCCAACAAGGACAATGACCCCAAGCATACAGCCAAAGCAATGCTGGAATGGCTTCATAACAAGAATGTGAATGTCCTGGAGTGGCCCAGCCAATGCCCAGACTTGAATCCCATTGAAAATATGTGCAAAGACTTTAAGACCGCCGCTCCCCATCTAACTTAACTAAGCTTGAGAAAATCTGCAAGGAAGAATGGGAGAAAATCCCCAAATCCAGATGTGCAAAGCTAATATAACAAAAAATATAGT